GCCTGATATAGTGTGTGAGGTAAAACAAAGATGATGTGACATATGCATTTACCAATCACACGTGCATAAATCTAATAATATGGCGTGTGGCCCATATTAATGGCACATAAACCCATATTGTGGGCTTACGTACTTTATGTACCATCATTCCCTTGCAGCGTGTGTGTTGGTTTCCTTTTATAACACAACGAACTCCATATTTTAGGGTGAAGAGCGTTCTCATGGCAAGCACAAAATCTGTAAGTGAGGCAGAAAAGGAGACGGAGAAGGAGATAGGTGAAGATGTAGAATATATAAGTCTTCCAAACTCCCCGTACTATACTCTAGGTGATCATTTTTCTGAACAAACGGCAACATTAACAACTATCGAGAACACCCCAGTAACGTCAGAGACAACAATCCAAAGCAAAACAACTGACCCGGAGAAGGATGATAGTACCACTGAGAGTACCAAAAAGGAGGTGTCCACTAGCGCTTAGGCTTATAATGGCGTGTGCCCTCATGCCATTTACTTGATCACCAAATACCTTTTTCCCTTTGCACTAGTATATCTTAATACCGGTCTGAGAAATAGAATGGCATGTGCCCTCAGGCCTTTTACTAAATCACCTTTGAAAGAAATGCAAGCCTCTATGTCGTAAAAAAAAGGTACTAGAGAAATTCCTTAATAATATGAATGTTATTTAGTTTCATGAAAATACACTAAGGGTGGTCAAATGAGTTAAATGACTTCTCCAGACTAGCAATGCCTCTTGCTACACCTTCACAATTAGATTCGTTAGAAAAATATAACATTGAATAATATCTAAATGTTCTCACCATTAAGTGATATGTCTGGCTAATAGGAATGACGTTCATCTTGGAAAGCTCACCACACGCTCAATGAACAAACAAATAGTGTGTGCGCGCATGCCATCGCTCTTCTTTAGCTTCAGATTCGGCTTGTTCACCTTGACAATGAGATTTATTATACAACCAGATGGACTCAGTCTGGACATAAAGTCACCGCGCTAGTCACCATGCCCCAGATATGTCTAGCCCATGGACAAAAAACATATAATTTCACGTCATTTTCAAATACTTGAAAATTTGTACCTAGTCCCATTTTACTGAATAAATCCCACTTTAACGAAATAGAGCATACTTCCATCTTGTGGAAAACATTCTTGATGAAAGGCTCATATTTTATATTGCATAACTGGAAAATTATCTCTCATAGAAAAGTGAAATTATAATTGTTTAGAACGTCCTTGAAGCTCATTTGCACCATCATTAATATAACCATTTACAAAACTTTTAAAATCTAGCACTTCTATTATGAGATATCCTTCAAGCCCATTAGAAATACAATTTTGCAATTGATGTAACATATGTGGGAATGTAAAACATGTTTGATGCCGAAGTGAATCTGAAACATGACTGAACAAAGCATCAACATCCTCATACATATGTCCCACTATTAGAAAATTAATAGTGATTGTATCGAAACATCCACGAGCCACAAGTAGGGATAAATATACAAATAACCATCGATTTTTATTTTCTGATCCACAATTATCAAGTTGTAATAAAAGATTTGGTGGCAAACTTGGTGCATTAGTAATTGTAACTGTTGAAGGAGTGCATGAGATCTCATGCACTTTTAAATTTAAAGCTAAAGTCAAAGTATTTAGACTATTTAGAGTTTTAGACTCTTCTTGAAGTTGATGACTAATAAATGCTTCATTATCAAGCAAAACATTATGCAACTCTTGCCCTTTTATAATTATTCCTTTTTCTCTATGTTGTGAATGTAGTAAAATCTTTGATAATGAACCAATTGTTAAATTTCGATCACTAGGCCATTGTGGAACAAAAAAACACCTATATGCACCAGATCTATGACCATGTGCTAATAGTCTAAAGAGTGATAAAGGAAGAGGATATGCTTGACTGCAATTTTGATATAGGCTCAAGCCTTGGTAAAGATGTTTTTCTATGATCCATCTTATTATGTATAATAGATAAGTATTTGTGCAGTTGTTGTGTTGATAAAATATGATTAACATAACAAGCTGTCCTACAACTTTTTTGGTCAAGCATATGATTATCTCATTTAATAGCATAATCTTTTTTTTCATGCTCTGATTTTGCAGCTTGTAAACCTTTCTTTATAAGCTGACACTCATTGCATTTAGAAAAGCTAGTATTCTTTACAATGATCACATCTGGATGTGATTTATAAATTTTGTTAAAAGTTGAAAGACTTACAGTCTTTAGCCCTTGTGTAAGAAGTTCTTCATTTAATTGCTTAAGTATTGAATTTTGGGTGATCATGGTTCCTTTTGAGTATCTTGAATCCCTTCAAGTGTTATCCTTAATTTATGGGGCCTTTTATCACTATTAACATCCATAAATGTTCAAAATAATTCTTGTAATGCCATTGTGTTTTGTCAGGATTTATCTTGACCTAAGTTGCAGAACCATTCCACTTGTTTTTAACTTGATAAAATGTGGATTTACTAAAATCATGTTCAATATACCATGCTTGAGCACATATAATACGTCCATTAAAAACCATATCAAAATCTTTATCAAAGTTTTCTGAACGTATTATAGCATGTGAAAGAGCTTTGAAAATAAACTCTCGATGATCTTTCCAACATGAATTCCATATTGAGCTTCTTGCATTAAAAATTTCATCTCTTCTTACAACTTGACAACACCTGATAATAGTCATTATTTATAAACTGTAATATTATAATATTATATGTGTTTATTATATACCTTCGAGAGCAGCAATCAAGAGTAGAGACTTTTCTTATAGTTAGCTCAGCTAGCGATTGTTGCTTATGTTTAGGAGCTGGACCCTCAACTTTAAATTTCTTTTGAGATTTATTAATAAAATCTATATTTTATTTTTATATTTGATGATTCTTCAGATGATGGTTCCTTTTCTTCTCCAAGAATGTAATATTTGAAAGTGGCCAACGAACTAATTGTCCACAACTTAATATCACAGATTGTAATATCTGAGTAATAACAACTCCCAAGTCAAAGTGACCAAGTTCACAGCCACTAACTGCATCACTTGGATCTGCTGATATAATTATCCCTGAAGCAATATGTGAACCATTGTGGGAAAGTTGAACAGGAACACCAATCCATGTTTTTCTAAGCCCACATTGGAAGCACACTTTTTTATAAGAAGCTGAAATGTCCAAATATAATTATTATAAATATTAAAATATAAGGTACTTACTTGGCCACAAAATATGATGCCCAACTTCTATGTTCTTTATAGTATTATTGACAAATACCTTTGTGATTGAAACATAAGCTTTATGTTCTCCAAGCAATTCATTATGAAACACTTTGTTACTATCCAATAAATAATAACAGATTCTACAATTTTAGTGTTGTCTACTAAAATATTGCATTTATCACCCTCTTTTCAAAAATCTATTAAAAACACTTTAATAATTAAAATTGTTATTCTTTTTTATCAACCCTTTCTGTGGGTTTGAACTTGAAGTGATTATAATGGCCATGATATAAAGCTTCCAAAGTTCTAAATCATTTACCAATCCATCAATTAAAAGTTTCTTTATAGAAACATAAACATTTCCTTCACCAATTGGTAAATTATGGACAATTCTTCTACTATCCATTGAGATAATAACACCTTCTGCTATTGTAACATCCCCTTTAAGTATGTTACATTTGTCTCCCTCATTCAAAGCCACAGTGATTCAAAAAACTTATGTAGTTTGTGGTTTAGTTATAATAATATTTGCTCAAAATAAGCTCAGATCAGCTCATGAATATTCACACACAATCATCATATTAATTCAAGTGTATAAGCATTCTTCAATAATAATTTCAAGCTATAACACAATAAAATCCATCCAATTAAAAAAGTGAATAAGTGCTAGTGCATGGGCACTCATGGTAATTAAAGTTAAAGTGCATGAGCACTCATGCGCACAAATGGAATGACTAAATACATACATCACATTTTATGTCGTTTGCTATTAGGGAAACATACACATTATCTATGTAGTTTAGTATTATATGAAATAGGATAATTAACACAATAAAGTATGTAGTTTGGTATGATAATAAAGTTCATAAAATGCACGTGGTATTTAAAGTTAACAGTGCATGAGCACTCACGCACACAAATGGAATGTAAGCTCACATGATGACATTTTATGGAGTTTACTATTGGGATTGCATGACATGCCGAACTACGTAAGCACTCATAAAAGCCTCTAATTTTACACACTAAAAAACGTAACTGCATGAGACAAGTGCGTGAGGCTGGTGCATGTGGGGAACATGGGCAAGAATGAGAGAATGTGAGAGGCCCAAGACTGACAGTTGAATAGGGTTGGGAAAGAGAGAGAGATTGCTCCTCAGCAAACAGGGGAAAACCTAAAAACCAATATCCGTCTTTTGTGGAATTAGGGTACACAACTCCATTGTGTCACTCCTCCATCAAGAATATTTCTGGTGTTGTGCCTCTGGGAGCGTGTTCTCGCTGCCTCCCGCTCGCCGATATCATACAGGTACCGCATTTGCTTTAGGGGCCACAGAATCGGCTGGAAATGACACTGCTCACACTACGATTCATGGGCGCAGCCAGGAGTTTGATCTGGGACGGAGGTGGTGGATATGAGACATGCAAGCCTGTCCCTTTGGAGAACAGGGTCAACAAGTGGAAAGGTGCTCCACTCTCGCTCAAGACCATCTAAACAATCCAGCAGCAACAGCTTTGACGACTGGCTTCTTTATCCTTGGATGGATGAAGGAGACCATTGGGATTCTCTCTCTCTCTCTCTCTCTCTCTCTCTCTGAAATTCCTCTCTCGTATACAATTGCTTATAAGCGATGGAATTCTCGCAAGTAGCCCCTGCTGAAGCCCATACCTATAGCATGCTCACATACGTGATGGTTTTGGAGAGACCACTCAGAGTTCAGCTTCTAAAAGTTCCTCTCCTCAAGGTACAAGGAGAAAGTTAAAGAGATAGAAACTATAGCATGGTTGATCATACTATCGAACAAGGAGAAATTGAAAGAGATAGAAACTATAGGTCGCTCATGATTGATCACTTCCTTACGTAGGCAAAGTATTGGAGCATAGGAACCACGAAGGCGATGACGAGAAGGCCCACAACCACTGTCGTGAACTGGCCACGCCTTTCCTTGGTCGCTTTCTTGGTCTTGAAATTGGATTTGCGTTTGTTCTCCTGGAACTTGGGGCCTGGATCTGGCAGCCCGTCTATGGTGGCGATCAGACGATTGCAAGTGCTGTAGAGGGCTTTGTTATACTTCTCGTCGGTCGCCAGCACTGGAAGGAGGCCAAGAGAGTGATTAGAAATAAGAACATGAAAAGAATACTGACTAGAAACATCTCTAGATGTTAAGAAACAGTAGTTCAATCTAGCTATCAAACTGACTAGAAACCGCTATGACTTTGATCTAGAAAAACCATAGAGGAGAAGGATTTGCTAGCTTGAAGGAGAAGTATAACGAGCTGAGAGGAGTGATATGATCTAGAGACTTGAAAGAATTCATACCAGGAAGGTTTTCGGAGACAACGGCTTCGAGGACCTGGTCACCAATTGCCTTGGTGAACTCTGGGCCGCCGGTGACAGTTCCTTCTTTCTGTGTTGTCACGCGTAAAACGAGTCCTTTGTTGTTGCCAAATTCTACAGTAGGGTACCACTTCTCCAGTAGCTGATCTGCAAATTCGAACGCATCGGCTTTACTCTACACGCACACTGTTTGTAAGTTAGTCTCCGTTCCAAGAAAATGGCATTCAATCAAAGGAGAGATGAAAGAAACAAGGCGATGCATGAATCAGGATCATGAAAAAATCACAGGCACAATCTAGAAGAACAAAAACTATCTAAAGGATCATCATGGAACACATTGCCTCATTTCACACAAACCACTCAAGAGCAATCATCTAGCAGAGAAAACACAAGAACAAAAAATAGACAATACGGAAGGATGGAAGTGAACTTACCATCAATTTGTGAAGAGTGACAATGTCGATGTGAAAACCCTTGCGCTCCTCCAAATCCATGAGAAGATTCTTGATATCCGACTTGTTGACACAGCTCACAACACCGGCATCGTCCACGAGATGGCTCTCCGTGGGAGGTCCATTGGCCAGCACGCTGAATTCGTTCGCATTTGCCGGAATTGTCTCCTTGAGATTGTTCAAAACTTTCAGGTCTGCTTCTCCAGTACTATTTTGTATTTCATTCTTACTAGGTGCAAGAAACACGTTGGTCCAACAGCGCTACATGACAAGCAGCCTGGACCCTGGAGCCTTTGTTGCCCCAGCAGAGCTAGCACCACCAGCGCATTGCCATCTTTTGAGAGCTCCTGTGTTTACTACCCTGCCCTGGCGTTGTGGAGCTGTCTCTTTTGTGGCATCTGGGAATGTTGTGGCCACAGCACCTGGGCAACTTCTGGAGCTCTTTTTCTTGATTTTGGTTTCTTTCTTGGGCAGGTCTGAACTTAGTTTTTTTTATTCTTCCCTTTTAACGTTCTCTTCTGCAGTTCTCGTGGTTCTCCTCATGGTTCTCCTTGTGGTTCTTTGGGGTTTTCTTCTTGAGAGAAGGTACAAAATATTTTTAGGACATTCTATCATTTTGTCAGCAAGCATAAAAAAAGACTTATGCTGAACACAGAATATTTCTAGAATACTCCATGCAATTGCATTTTGGCAGTGTGAGCACTCATGCATACACTGCACATAGAATATTTCTAATATTCCATCATGCAATTGTCTATGTGGGGTAATAGTGCGTGAGGACTCACGCTCCCAGCCCATGCTAAAGTGCGCTACAGTTATGTTCTAATTGCATATATATAGTGTGTGAGTGCTCACGCTTTACTTGATTAAAGTGTAATATGGATAATAAACAATTGTAAGCTTTTGTAGTGTAATAGATGGGATAGTAAACCTTTTGTGGTGCGTGAGCACTCACATAGAACATCATTTCATTTATAGTAGATTTGTACTTATATATTTGTTGCTTTTACAGATGTTTAGTCTCAAAGACATGAGAAGGAGAAGAGTTACTGTGGCAATGGCTAACCTACTTAGTAATGACCCTTATATTGCAGTTGAAAAGGTTTCTTTAAGCAACAATTGTCTCTTTGAGATTTTTTCATTAGAATCAAAGGGCTATAAAGTGGGAGAAAAGATCATATGGAATGGACGGGCAGTTGTACCTAAGATTCCCCTCTTGGCAAGGAGGGTTCCAAAACTTCCAGAAGATTGTGATGACAGAGCAGAGGCAAAGTTGGTCAATTTGAGATGATGCTAGTGATCTCATCTTTTGTGGCGAGGAGCTAGACAATATAGACAAGCTGGTTGATAGAGAAATCCTGGCACTTTAATGGAGAGGCATTTCAATTTTTGATTGATGTTGAAGGTATTTCTAAGTGAGTGCCTCTTGATCCAAAAAACTTACAACTTAGCTGTGCTGAAGAGATGATAGGATTAGATGCAATTAAGTTTTGGGATACTTTGTCAACAAGTGAGACTAAGCTTACAACATCATCAAAATCAAAATTTCTGAACAACTGGAGGGATAGCTTTAGAGGGAAGATTCTTAACCCTAACTGGTTTGCAAACTCTCACTAAAGGAAGCAGAAGCAGGATTCAGCAAAGTAAGAGTGGAACCAGTTTGAGTCAAAACTTGGAAATAAAGGTTTTTGGAAATGATTTTGAAGGTGAAGGTGTGGATAGTGCATCAGAAGATGAAATAGTAAAGAAGAAGAAAGGAAAGCAGGGCATTAGTGAAAAGGCAACTACAATATTTTTAAAATATGCAATGCTTTAAAGATTGTAGAGATTGAGAAGCGATGCTCTTTGATAGAAAGTCCTAAGCTTGTGCACTTGCACATCTCGAAGTCTAAGGAGCATATCCAGAGGTTACTATGTGATCATTGGGTTCAAATCTTGAAGGAAAACATCAGTGCTAATCCACAAGAACCTGATCCAGCTGTTGTGGTGCCTTTCAAGAGTTGTGACATATATTTCTAATTGAAGGGAGGTAAAATATGTCATTGTTTTTAAAGACTTTGAGCAAAAGAAAAGAAGGAAAGCTAACAAAGAAGACAATAAAAACAATGAAGATGATGATGAAGGCACAGAAGATGAAGGAAAGGATATAGATTCAGGAGAGGATGAAGAAGAGGATGGTGATGATGGCATATGTTATTATCTTGTTTCTAGGCAATACTCTACAGTAGCACTACAAAAGCTTTTTGAAGATGAGATCTTCCTTTCTAAGGTTCAGGAAGATCCTGAGCTGGACTTCATGTTTTGCTAGTGTAGATGCAGAGTGATAAGTGGCAAGGTTGCAACTAAAGATGACATTCTTTGTCTTTCACTCAACTCAAACAAGGCACAAAAGGAAAATCTTGAAGTCTCTTTTTCCAAGCAGCTAGAACATACTAGAAAGGCATGGGTGAATGCTGGACGTCCAGAAAAATCTATAAGAGGAGGAGCTCATTGTGGAGAATGGAAGGTACAAACATATTATTATTATTATTATTACTAATTTTATAATTTGTTATAGGACATTGAGAATGTGGTTAACATGATGTTTGGGGTTACTGACTCTATAACATCCACTGCCTCTTGAGAAGCTCAGAAGAAAATTTCAATATTTGGATCAAAGTTGTTTGTAAGGGAAAAGAAAGTACATTTTCTCTTAAGATAGCAAAGAAGATGCAACCAATTATTTCTTGGACAATGAATCTCCTTAAAGATGTTTGTGTCCTAGAAAATGATGATTTGAAACTCTTAGGCCAGGAGATTCTGATGGGTAGATGTTCAATCAAGAAAATGGCAAGTAAAGAGCAAACAAAGAAGGTTTTGAGTATGAGTGAGTTGGGGTCAAAACTTCAGGACCAATGAATTTGATCAGTGAGATGATCAAGTTTTGTGCTGAGAAGTAGTTCAAGGGTATAATCACAAAGACCAGTAGAGAATCCTTTATAAAGACTATGAATATTTCAAATGAGGATTTGGATGACAAGGTTTATATAAACGCTCTTATGAATCAAACTTAAAAAAAACAACCCCTTCCAGCAGCACTTCAAAGTAAAGCTAATCCTAAGGGTGGATTGATTATAGAACTAGCACCTCTAGATATAGTTTTCAACATAGATAGTGATCAGAATGCTTGGCCTATATGGTTAGCACAAGAAGACAACACAATCAAGCTATTAATTATGGATTTAAGAGGAGATCAAGGATTGGCAAATTCAAAGGTGAAAGAATGATTGAAATGTCCTGTTGGAGTTGTCAGCAACAAGAATTACAATTGCAAAGTTTTGATTTTCTATGAACATAAACAAACATTGTTGGTGTTCAGCTTTCTTCAAAAGGTTGGGGTTAAAGACAAGTTCAAGATTAAATGCTTTTCTGATAAGGAAGCTGCAAAGGTCCTTATAGACATGGTGGTTAATTTTCACACTGAAGAAGAGATCCATGACAACTCCACATTAGAAGACGAGGATCTTATTTTTGGAAAAAGGAGTTTTAACATTCCAAATGATTAAAAAGGAACAAGGCATTTTGGTGGAACTTTGCAGTTAGAAGTTTCTCAGTATATAGTTGAAAAGGTTCCTGAGGCTTGTATCTTGGAGTATGGGTGCCATGTAATTCTACAAGTTGCAAGGCTCTCAGGTTATCAAAGTATTGGGGTCATATCAAGTTTGGAGGAAAACTTGCAAAAAAAAGTTGAGATGCTTAAGAAATTTAGCCTTTGTCCTCTTATTTCAAAGGCAGCTCCATAAAAGCAGAAATTAGAAGAAGAGTGAGCAACTTCATCTCAAGCAGCAAGTAAGTAGAGGTTGAAACCTAGGCTCAAAGGTGGCAATTTTAAGTTCTTAGCTAAAACAGCAAGTTGAGGAGAAAGGAAAGAAGGGTAAGTCCTTCTGATAATTATTATGGGAGTTTATAATACATTTTAAATATAGATCATGAGCCTAAATAAGATATTTGAAAAATGACAAAAGAGAGTACATGATATAGGTAAGTAATTTTTATAATTTTTATGGGAGGTTATAATACATTTTAAATACAGATCATGAGCCTAACTCTATTGCAAATGAGGTATTTAAAAAACAACAAAAGAGAGTACATGATAAAAGTAAGAAATTCTTATAATTATTATGGGAGGTTATAATACATTTTAAATACAAATTATGAACCTACTCTACTGCAAATTAGGTATTTGAAAAATGACAAAAGAAAGTACAATAAATCAGGTGGAACATCTAGAGCTTCTGTTAAGCAATTACAAACTACTAGAAGAATTAACTCCCAGAAAACCACCAATAAAGTGTAAGCATTAAATTTTTTCTTTCCAATTTGCCAACTTACCTTGTCTATCCGACCAACACTGCCTTAGCTTTTGCTAAGTTCCCTCGCCAAGGTTCTCGTTTATTGTACCAGCTCCTACTTGGTCTTACTTGGTTTCAGCTACTCACTGCACGAGCAACAGAGTATTAGCCATCCATCCACGAATTCCCAAATCTCTCCCAATCCCCCTCCCCGAGTTAGACTGGACTTAAGGTTCAGCTACACTTCCTGTAGGCATAAGCAACCAAGCACACCAAGCCTCTAAGTTTCTAACATCCCTTGGTACAACAAGACTTGTTCATGGGACCCTTTAAATCCCAAGCCTTGGGTGCAACACTTGCTTCGAGACACCGGGGCGAAACACCATGGCCTAACGGCCCAGTATAGATACCTCTATCCCCCACTTCCATCCCGAAGGGGAGGCCCAAGCCCCTAGGAAGGGTGAGGACTAATGAGCCACAAGGTACTCAGGTGGGGCACCACTCCACATGAGTCAGGAGCACTGCAGTCGATTTTCCTTTCGGGAGTGGGAGTTGCTCTTGAGCACTTCCTTAGGTGGCCCCTTCAGCACCACCCAAGTCCATGCTCACTCCCACCCAAGGCCCCTCAACCCCAGTCTCAACCTCAAGTCAGTTTGGAAGCACCACTAGAGAGTTCCTTCAAGACTAGTTCTTAGACCTCTCTATCCCTACTATACTTTTGGAACCCCCTGCAGCATCCCCCCCACCCCAAGGAGACGCATGCTTTGGGCTTTCACCCCTTGACCTGTATTAGTACTTGGACTCGGTCTCGGATTCGATCTCGGACTCGGTCTCGGACTTGATCTTGAACTCGATCTCGGACCCGATCTCGGACCCAATCTCGGACCCGATCTCGGACCCGATCTCAGACCCGATTTCAGACCCAATCTCGGACCCGACTTTGGACTCGGTCTCGGACCCGATCTCGGATCTCGGACTCTGTCTCGAACTCGGTTTCGAACTTGGCCTCGAACTCGGTCTCCGAGTCGGCCTCGGACTCAAACCCGAACTCTATCTCGAACTCGGTCTCAGAGTCGATCTTGGACTCGATCTCAGACTTGGTCCCATCCGATGAACTCTTTGTCATTTCAGTCATACTTTTGGGGATCCTTTAGCCTACAACACCTCGGGGAGTTGGTTCCTTACAATTCCACTACCCATAGAAGAAGTTCAATGCCCTCATCGAACGTCTCTTTTTATCCTATGACTTGTTGACCATGTCTCCAGGGGCATCCCCTCACTTAACGGTATGCCTAAGTTAGCCTCCGCAGCCAAGAGCCCATGACAATGGAATATAGGTGTCCCTATAGCCCTCACCCCACCACGCCCTAGTATGAGGTTGGGACTTGAACCCAGCCTTGCTTTACTAGGGGGTTGGGACTCGAACCCAACCTCCGTAGAATACGTCTATGGATTCGACATCCCCGTGGGGAGTCGGGCGTAGTTCACTATGTCTGGTTGACCTAGCTAACCCATGCTAATTAGCTTATCTTCGGCACGCCTTTGGGTCCCAACATATACCATTGCTCAACTTCACAAATTGATACTTTAGTTAAACTTTGCATAAGTACATAGAGTTCTGCCTTGCAGAAATTCCTCCATTAGATCTCGCGCGTTCGCTAGGTTCTCCTCCGATTCCCATGTTGCTTCGCAGTGTGGAAATCCTTTCCACTTCACATGGAACTCTCTCATGTCGCGTCCTTGTCACTTGCTCTTGCACGCATTGAGGATGGCCTCGACTTCGTATTCCCCTTGGATAACCTCAGGTAAAGGTATTACTTGGTCCTTGCAAAGCGGATCCTCAAAGTACGGCTTGAGTAAGTTCACATGAAACACTGGGTGCATCTTCCCCATCTCTCGAGGAAGTCAGAGATGGTAAGCCACTTTACCGATTCGTGCTTCAATCTCATAAGGCCCCACGAACCTGCTTAAGGAACTCAAGATCAATTCATTTATAGGAATACATGCATTTTTACCTTTGGGTCAACTTCCAGCTGATCCCACTTGGTAGCCTGAGGTTCTTGGTGTTCAGCCACACCTTCTCCCCAGCTTGGAACTCTACATCCCGGTGCTTCTGGTTCGCGTACTTGGTTTACCTTTATTGAGCCCGCTCCAAGGAGTCCCTCACTAGATTCCAAATGTTGAGTCTTTCCGCCGTAAATGCCTCCACTGCAGATAACTCTCCATGATACTTGACCACGCTGAGTTCCATAGGACCTTCAATAGCTCGCCCATTGATGACTTCCCATGGACTCACCCCGATACTTGAATGTGGTGAGTTGTTATAACACATTTCCGCAAGTCCCAAATGACTTACCCAATTGGTCTGGTCTCCCGAGACATAGCATTGCAAATAATCCTCCAGTTGCCTATTCACCCTTTCTGTTTATCCGTTTGTCAAGAAGTGTTAGTGCCATCAAACTTGACTTAATACCAAATACCTATCTGTGGGTGATAGGCTATGCTGAATTTCAACTTGGTGCGATATTGTTTTAGGAGAGTTCTCCAGAACCTACTGGTGAAGATCTTATCTCGATTTGAGATAATCTCTTCTGGCCTTCCTTACACTCGAACCACTTGCTCGAAGAATAGCTTCGCCACACCTTCCGCATCCACTTCCGTTGTGGTGGGTATGAAATGTGCCATCTTCGAAAATCAGTTCACCACCACAAATATTACATTGAACCCCTCGCTTGGGGGGAGTCCCGTGATGAAGTTCATTGTAAGACATTTTCAAGGACAATCCGGAATTGGGATGCTTTGTAACAAGCCCCCACTAACCTTAGTCACGGCTTTGACCTGCTGACATGTTGGGCATATCTTTACATAGTTTTGGACATCCTTAGCCATATCTGGCCAGTGGTACTTCCTCTTGAGTAAGCCCATTATCTTGGGCACTCCACCATATCCCGCAAAAGGTCCGTCATAACACTCTTCTAAGGCTACCTTCCTTAATTCCTCTTTTGGAACATACACTCTCGTTTGCTTGTAATAGATGAGTCCATTGCATTTTGCATAGTCTGTTTTCTTTTCTGTTGGCAGCTCACCTCTCTGGTGAGCTTCCCGTGCCTTTAGATTCCTCAACAACACTTCTTGTGGTAGACCATCATTCTTATATGCTATCCACACATCATCCCAAAAGGTTGTTGTCGTGCTGGATATCGCCAACATCAAGCTCGCTTTTCGACTTAGTGCATTTGCCACAATGTTGCTCTTCCCAGGCTTGTACAGAATTTTGCAATCAAACTCGGCCAAAGCATTGGCCCACCGACCTTGTTTCCTTCTCAGGTCAGGCTATGACAAGAAGTGTTTCGTTGCCACATTGTCCATGTAAACCTTGAAGTGTCTCCCAAGGTAGTGTCGCCACTCCTTGAGCGCCTTGACCACCGTAAACAATTCCTTCTCGTGGGCAGGCCACTTCTGTTGAGCCTTGTCCAACTTCTTCGAGAAAAACGCTACTAGATGGTTGTCTTGCTTCAAAACTGCGCCTAATGCAAAGTCTGAAACATCCATTTCTACCTCAAAGTTCTTACCAAAGTCTGGTAACGCCAACACGGAAGCCTTTCTCAACTTCCCTTTGAGGAGGACGAATGTGACCTCGCATTCCGCTGTCCATACCATCTTCCCTTTTCTTGTTTGGTCCGTTAAAGGTAGGATTACTCTCGAATAGTGTTTGATAAACTTTTGGTAGTAGTTGCATAGTCCCAAGAATGCCCTTAACTCGTGTACATTTGATGGTTGCTCCCAATCCTGGATCGCTTGGACCTTCTCAGGGTCCACCTTGAGCCTGTCCTTGCCCACCACATGCCCGAGAAACTTTACCTTTTGTTGAGCAAAGTCACATTTGCTCTCTTTAGCATATAGCTGGTGTTCCCTTAGTTTCTCAAACATCTTTGTCAAGTGTTTGGCATGCTCCTCTAACGTTTCGCTATAGATCAGGATATCGTCAATATAGACGACCACAAAGTGATCCAGATAGGGTATAAAGATGTGGTTCATCAACACCAAAAACGTTGCCGGCGCATTGCATAGCCCGAAGGGCATCACCAGAAACTCAAAGCTCCTATACCTTGTTTGATAAATTGTCTTCTCGACATCTTCCTCTGCTACCCTGATCTGGTAGTATCTTGACCTTAGGTCAATCCTCGAGAAGTATTTTGCCTTTCCCAACCTATCGAATAGGTCCTCAATCCTTGGCAAAGGGTACTTGTTCTTCTTTGTATACTTGTTGAGCAACTGATAGTCTATGCACATGCGCATAGATTCATCTTTCTTTTTCACAAATAACATTGGCGCCCCATACAACGATTTGCTCAACCTAACATACCCTTTGTCCACCAACTCCTCTAGTTGGCACTTAAGCTCCTCGAGTTCTTTTTCGTTCAAACGATAGGAGGGACGAACCACTGCCTCAGCACCCCTGACTAGCTCAATCTTATGTTTTATCGATCGTGCGGGGGGCAACCCCGCCGGTAGCTCCTTTGGCATGGTATTCTGGAATTGGTTTAACACCCGCTGGATCACTAAAGGTACTTCTTCCATTCCCGTCCTTTTATCACTCTTCATTGAGAGTAAGCACAAAAATGCTACTTTGGTTCCTTTAGTAAGTTGTCCTCTTGTGGACACTAGGTTTAGGCAAGAATCTTTGGCCTTGCATTGCCCTACGTTTAGATCCTGGGCCTTCACCCTGGATCTTCTTCCTTGGGCATTCGCTAGTACCATAAGGTTCCTACATTGTCTATGCAAGGCTACCACGAACCAATTGAACCAATCCATCCCGAAGATCACGTGAAATCTTGCCATATCCAACACGATGAAATTTCCATGTTCCTATTTTGACTCTCGCTTGTCGAAGTACCTCATCGGTGCTTTGGCTACCTTGAACAAACTCTATAATCCTTGGTTCGCCCAGCCGCTGCACCTTTAGTCCGGCTTGCCGAACTATGTTTGCAGCCACAAAATTATCCGAAACACCCGTGTCAATAAGGATCTTAACAAAGCTACCTTCGAGTTCCCTCGAAGGGCCAGTAGATGTCACGAACAACTCTTTACTAAAGTTGCTCATGCAATGAGTAACTTTGAGCTAGGGACTGGATTACATACCTCAGTTTTAATTTCACCCGACTTAATGGCCATATTGGCTTTGGCCTTCTTTGGGTAGGGACATTCCCTCGAAAAGTGTCCCGCTTCTTCGCAGTTGTAGCATACGTTATTTCCCACGCTGCTAATTGATTTGACCTTCTTATCCATGGGTTTGTCTCTTTTTGCTTGACTCCCCCATGTACTTGCTCGTTGGCCACCGGATTTGCCTTTTCGAAACCTTGAAGACTCATTCTTAGAGAAACTCTTCTTGAATTTCCCTTTGTTATATGTTCCCCTTGGTTTGGCCCCTTTGCTAAACGTGGATTTCGACCCTATCGTGTTCCCTTTTTGTAGGTTATTGTTGAAATGCACCTTGATGGCCACATCCAACACTTCCTTGTAGTTGGTTGGGTTCCAACACATCACCTTACCACGAGCCTAGGTTTGCAAGTATGATATGAAAGCATGGAACGCATCCATATCCCCCATGTCCGTGACAAGTATCCTCTTTGCCATAAACCCATTCACATACTCTTGAATGGTTCCGGTCTACTTCAGCTTACTCAGCTCTTCTCTTAGATGTAGAGTAGCATTTGGAGGAACGTAAGTCACGCAGATCCTCGCCTTCATCATTTCCCAAGTGGCCACCGGTCCTTCGCTGGCCTCTATTGTTCTCCACCAAGACTTGGCATTATTTGCCAAGTATGGTTTTGCACATGGGACCTTCTCCAAGCTCGGTAACTGCAACGTTTGGAAGTAGTCCTCCATATTGTAAAACCAATCCTCTACCACCTTATAGTTGTTCACTCCCTTGAAGACCGGTGGGGGCTTTGGTTTGTACTTGGGAACTGCCTGAGGGACTGATTCCATTTCGGTCTGTTCGACCTTGTCTGGTTTTGCCTTAGTCCTTGCCGAAGGGTCCGCACCTTTTGTGCTACCAACCTTCGCAGTCTTTTGCCTTTTCTTTCGCTTCTTGTCACACTTTAGCTTACATATAAGAGTCTCCAGTAGGGCATTAGTCTGTGCCAATTGTCCTTCTAGAACATTCAATCGAGCCTTGGATGACCGAACCTCACCATTGGACTTCTGTTTGGAAGCTTCCTCACTAGAGTCCTACTCATGCAAGGATTCCTCATCCATAGCCTCTTGTTCGACCGAAGGTTCTAGCTCTGGAGGAGGTTCTGTCTCCGCCTTGATTCGTTTCCACCCTACCTTTGCCATCTCCCAGCAATCCGCCTCTATCCTTCACTAGAACTGAGGAAAAGGTTCCAATACCAAATTATAAGCCTCAAATTTTTTTTTTCCAATTTGACAACTTACCTCATCTATTCGACCAACACTGCTTTGGCTTTTGCTAAGTTCCATCGCCAAGGTTCCCGTTTATTGTACTAGCTCCTACTTGGTCCTACTTGGGTTCAGCTACTCACTGCACGAGCAACAGAGCGTTAACCATCCATCCACGGATTCCCAAATCTCTCCCAATCCCCCTTCCCGGGTTAGACTGGACTTAAGGTTCGGCTACACTCCCCACAGGCACAAGCAGCCAAGCACACCAAACCTCCAGGTTCCTAACATCCCTTGGTACCACAAGACTTGATCATGGGACCCTCTAAATCCTAAGTCTTGAGTGCAACACTTGCTTCGGGACGCCGGGGGAAACACTGTGGCCTAACGGCCCGGTATGGGTACCTCTACCCCCCACTTCCATCTTGAAGGGGAGGCCCAAACCCCTAGGAAGGGCGAGGACCAATGAGCCACAAGGTACTCAAGTGGGGCACCACTCCACATGAGTCGGGAGCACCGCAGTCGGTTTCTCTTTCGGGAGTGGGAGCTGCTCTTGAGCACTTCCTTGGGTGGCCCTTTCGGCACCACCCGAGTCCATGCTCACTCCCACCCAAGGCCCTTCGGCCCCAGTCTCAACCTCAAGTCAGTTTGGAAGCACTACTGGAGAGTTCCTTCAAGACTAGTTCCTGGACCTCTCTATCCCTATTATACTTTTGGAACCCCCTGCAGCCCCCCCCCCCCGGGAGACGCACGCTTTGGGCTTTCACCCCTTGACCTATATTAAAGCTCTATTTCGTTAAAGTGGGATTTATTCAGTAAAATGGGACTAGGTACAAATTTTCAAGTATTTTAAAATGACGTGAAATTATATGTTTTTTGTCCAGGGGCTAGACATATCTGGGGCATGGTGACTAGCGTGGTGACTTTATGTCCAGACTGAGTCCATCTGGTTGTATAATAAATCTCATTGTCAAGGTGAACAAGCCGAATCTGAAGCTAAAGAAGAGCGATGGCATGCGCGCACACACTATTTGTTTGTTCATTGAGCGTGTGGTGAGCTTTCCAAGATGAACGTCATTCCTATTAGCCAGACATATCACTTAATGGTGAGAACATTTAGATATTATTCAATGTTATCTTTTTCTAACGAATCTAATTGTGAAGGTGTAGCAAGAGGCATTGCTAGTCTGGAGAAGTCATTTAACTCATTTGACCACCCTTAGTGTATTTTCATGAAACTAAATAACATTCATATTATTAAGGAATTTCTCTAGTACCTTTTTTTTACGACATAGAGGCTTGCATTTCTTTCAAAGGTGATTTAGTAAAAGGCCTGAGGGCACATGCCATTCTATTTCTCAGACCGGTATTAAGATATACTAGTGCAAAGGGAAAAAGGTATTTGGTGATCAAGTAAATGGCATGAGGGCACACGCCATTATAAGCCTAAGCGCTAGTGGACACCTCCTTTTTGGTACTCTCAGCGGTATTATCATCCTTCTCCGGGTCAGTTGTTTTGCTTTGGATTGTTGTCTCTGACATTACTGGGGCGTTCTTAATAGTTGTTAATGTTGCCGTTTGTTCAAAAAAATGATCACCTGGAGTATAGTATGGGGAGTTTGGAAGACTTATATATTCTACATCTTCACCTATCTCCTTCTCCGTCTCCTTTTCTGCCTCACTTACAGATTTTGTGCTTGCCATGAGAACGCTCTTCACCCTAAAATATGGAGTTCATTGTGTTATAAAAGGAAACCAACACACACGCTGCAAGGGAATGATGGTACATAAAGTACGTAAGCCCACAATATGGGTTTATGTGCCATTAATATGGGCCACACGCCATATTATTAGATTTATGCACGTGTGATTGGTAAATGCATATGTCACATCATCTTTGTTTTACCTCACACACTATATCAGGCCTCCTCTGATTAAGATTCGGATTGTTCACCTTGAAATAAAATACATTAGAAACTTAGTAAAGGAATATTAATGAATCTCACCTTGAACCCGGGTTATGAATGCTCTTGCTGCATCTCTTGCATGGTCTGGCAAGGTGATGGTGGCACTCTACTTCCGCATCCAACCATGCACAACATTATCCACCGATATGCTCATGCTGGGATCCCTTGGATTCAGCACCCATCTCTTTTCTAGGCAATCCTTTGTATATCTGGAACTTGGCTTGAACCACTCCACAGTTACATTGAAGGAGTTAGTTTTCGCGTCCTCCTTTGCATCAGTGAT